CTGTAAGAGTCCCCCCCCCTCCGGCTCGAGCAGGGGGCTGGACTAGATGACCTCCGAGGCCCCTTCCATCTCTTCCGTAATTCTGTAAGAGTTCCCCCCCCCGCCTCCGGCTCGAGCAGGGGGCTGGACTAGATGACCTCCGAGGCCCCTTCCCGCTCTGCCACGCTAGTCTATTCTCTCGGCCAGGGCCAGCGAGACCCCCGCCTGTGGGGTGGGGGTGGAGGAGGAAGCGAAAGCGGGAAGGGGGAGGAGGGAGAAAGTGAAGGGCCCCTTGTTTCTCGGCACTTTCACTTCCCCTCCCTTTCTGGGAGGGAGGGGCGGTCCCGGACCGAGCCCCCTCCCTCCCCTGCCGCCTCCCGCCCCGGGTGGGGAAAAGCGAAGCGGGGCGGCTCCGCGGCCGCAGAAGCGGCGGATCCTGCGAGGCGCGGGGAGATCCAGAGCCAGACGGGGATCGCGCGCAGCTTTCCCCGCAGCAGCAGCAGCAGCAGCAGCAGCAGCGCAGGTGGGGAGGGGGGGGAACGGAGGCTCCGGGGGTCCTTCCCCGGCAGGGCAAGTGGGGAGGGGGGAAGGAGGAGGGAGGTCCGCCCGGGGGGGGGCGCTGAGCCGGAGTGGGGAAGGGCGGGAGAGCCGCTCCCTGGATCTCCCAGAATGCAAAGGAATCCCGAGGGGGGGGGGGAAAGAAGCCTCCCGGGGTTGGACTAGATGACCTCCAAGTTCCTTTCCAACTTTTAGTCTTATTCTTATTCTTATTCTTATTATTGTTGTTGTTTTGTTGTTTTGTTTTGTTGTTTTGTTGTTATTAATTATTACTACTACTACTTTTTATTATTATTATTAGTAATAGTAATAGTAGTAGTAATAGTAATAGTAGTAGTACTTTTAAACAAATTAAATCCCCAGCTGTATATTCCATTCATGCCTTTCACCCCAAATTATTATTACTGTTAATATTTTTTTATTATTATTATTATTAGTAGTAGTAGTAATAGTAATAGTAATAGTAGTAGTACTTTTAAACAAATTAAATCCCCAGATGTATATTCCATTCATGCCTTTCACCTCACCAAGTTATTATTATTACTATTATTATTGTTTATTGTTTTGTTGTTATTGTTGTTATTATTAATTATTATTACTACTACTATTTATTATTATTACTATTACTACTAGTAGTAGTCGTGGTAGTAGTATTACATTTAAACAAATTAAATCCCCAGCTGTATATTCCATTCATGCCTTTCACCCCAAGTTATTATTATTACTACTACTACTATTATTATTATTATTATTATTATTATTATTATTAGTACTACTAGTAGTAGTAGTAGTAGTGGTAGTATTACGTTTAAACAAATTAAATCCCCAGCTGTATATTCCATTCATGCCTTTCACCCCACCAAGTTATTATTATTACTATTTATTATTATTATTAGTAGTAGTAGTAGTAGTAGTAGCAATAGTAATATTACTTTTAAACAAATTAAATCCCCAGCTGTATATTCCATTCACCCCACAAAGTTATTATTATTATTACTATTTATTATTATTGTTATTATTATTATTATTATTATTAGTAGTAGTAATATTACTTTTAAACAAATTAAATCCCCAGCTGTATATTCCATTCACCCCACAAAGTTATTATTATTATTACTATTTATTATTGTTATTATTATTATTATTAGTAGTAGTAGTAGTAGTAATATTACTTTTAAACAAATTAAATCCCCAGCTGTATATTCCATTCACCCCACCAAGTTATTATTATTATTACTATTTATTATTATTATTATTATTATTATTATTATTATTAGTAGTAGTAGTAGTAGTAGTAGTAGTAGTAATATTACTTTTAAACAAATTAAATCCCGTGCTATATATTCCATTCACCCTACCAAGGTGTTGTTGTTGTTATTATTATTGGTATTGGTATTGGTATTATTAGTGTTATCCGCGCAACAGGGGCGCACTCTTCCCAGGCGGGGGTCCCCCGTCCGTTTTCCTTGGCAGAGATGTTGAAAAAGAGGCTGGGATGGCGCCTCTTGAGAGGGGGGGGGTTGATCCTGGGGGGGGTCCGCGGAGACCCCCCCTCCAGACTAACAAACTCAGACTAACACTTTCGGTGCAAGGCAGCCCTAGAGGCATCGCTGGGAAAGGCAGGAGGGGAGGGGCAATGCCCCCCCATTTCCTCCCCCTCCCCCCACCCGAAAAGGGGCCTTGGCTGGAGCTGCCCCCGGCCCCTCCCTTGCCTCCAAAAAAAAGGGGGGTCTCCCCCCCATCTCCTCTCTCCTTCCCCACAGTCCGAGGAAGAGCGAGCGAATCCCTCTGCGAGCTTCAGCAGCCAGAATGAACCAGCAGCCGACATTCCGGGTACGTCTGGGAAGGGGTCCTGAAAGGAGGGGAGGGGGCTTCGGGACAGGGGAGACCCCCAGAATTTGGGGCCTGGAAAAAGCATCCAGCGCCCCCCCCCCACATCTCCCATCGTGCTCCGGGCCAGCCCTGTCCCCTACTTGTCGAAATAAGGGGGGCGAGCGAGGCTCCGGTGCTCAAGCACGCAATGCCCCCCCCCAAATAAAGGGGTTCTCCCAACTCTACTTCCCCTTTTTCTCCTCCCCCTGCCTCCCCCTCCCCCTGCCTCCCTGCCCCTCCTTTCTTCCCTCCCTGGGTCCCTTCAGAGCAGACCCCCTCCCCCCCTAGCTGGGGGGGGCTGCTCCAGAGCAGCCTTGAACGGGGGACCAGGCTGCGGTTTCTGAATTGGGGGGGGGCAACTGGCTCTCTGCCTCGCTGGACACGTCTGACCCGTGTTTCCTTTCCACTCTTCCAGGGAGGCACGGATGAGGAGCCCATGTTGGGTAAGAGAGGCCACGCCGGGAATTGCGGGTGGGGAGCAACACGGTAGCCACGTGGAGGTCGAGCTGCGCTGCAAGGGTCTCTCCCCATAGCGAGCAGCCAGAGCCTCGCGGGCCGGCCGAGAGGAGGGGTCCCTTGGCCCCTCTGTGGAGACCCCCTCCTCACCCCTAAACACAGTTGTCTCCCTCCCTTCCTCCCTCCCTAAGGGGCTCTGTGGCCCACGGACGGGCCTCCTTCCACGGTCCCTGCTGGTCTTTCGGCTCTCGGTGACCCTCCTCGGACGGGGTTTGGTGGCGGGGAAAACGCCGGATCGCCGCAGGAGGAAGGCGGCGGTCTCCCCGGTGGGCCTGGAGGGACAGGCCGGCAGGAGGAAGGCGCTGCCGTGGGGCACTCAGGTGGGTGAGGGGGAGGGCGCTGAAGACACATTTCAGCCAACCCCTCGGATCCACGGAATTTCCTCGGCTCCGCACAGGTCGTCCTCCCGGCACTCTGTCGGAAACAAACCAGTTGGAAGCCGGCTTGCACGCTTGGCAGGGGGAGACAGGAGGGTCAGCCCTGCTCGGTCCAACCTGCCTCTGCATCCTGCCCCCCCAGCCCAGTGGGTCAGGCGTCCTCCTGCAGCACTCTGCCAGCAGCCATGAGTCTCTTCCGGGTCGCTCGGACCAAGCGTTGCTGGTGGGGGCTGGATGCAGTGTTCATACTCGGACCTCAGGTGTGGGGCGGGGGGCTGCTGGGATCCAGGCTGTCCTCTGAAACCAGAGAGTAACTTCCTGACTTGGAGCGTCATTGTTTTATCAGTGGAGTTTTGCTAAAGTGGGGTTCGCACGTTGTGGGAATCTACACGGCAGAGTCTCCCATTTTAGCGACTCTGGGAGATTCACAAAAAAACAGCCCTGAGTCGCTTCTGTGTAGGGGTGACTCTTTTCCAAAATTGTCCCCGTTTCCAGCCTGCTCACTGACGCCCCGCCATGTTGGATCACGGCCACACCTTTCTTCCCGGGCACGTGTGAAATGTCTCGATTCCTTTGTGTGACCCTGTCTTCCAAACTCGCAGGGGAGGACGCCGAACTCCGGCTGATCCTGGTGGGGAAAACCGGAGGCGGGAAGAGCGCCACGGGCAACACCATCCTCGGCCGAAGAGAGTTTGAGTCCCACCTGGGGGCAAAGGCCACCACCGTGAGGTGCCAACGGGGTGAAGGAAGATGGCAGGACAGGAAGATCTCCGTGGTCGACACCCCGGCCATTTGTGATTCGGAAAATGACAGCGAGATGGTGCAAAATGAGATCAGGGCTTGTGTCGAACTCTCCTGGCCTGGTCCCCACGCCCTAATCTTTGTGACCCAGGTGGGGCGCTTCACTGCGGAAGACGCGGCTGCCGCAAAGCGGGTCCGAGCTATCTTTGGGGCCGAGTCCGCCGGGCACACCATCGTCCTCTTCACCTGCCTGGAGGATCTGGAAGGGGCCACCCTGCAGGAGTACGTCCAACAGTCCGACAATCGGAATCTGCAGAGCCTGATCCGACGTTGTGGGAACCGCTTCTGCGGCTTCAACAACAAGGCCGCGGGAGCCGAGCGGGAGAGGCAGGTCTCGGAGCTGATGGAGATGGTGGAGAGAGTCGTTTTCGAGAACGGGGGGCGATATTACGTCTGCCGGCTGTACGCGAAGCCCAACGTGCGGGATCAGCCTGTGAGGATATCCGTGGAGGACCGAAAGGCCTGGAAACGGCTGTCGAAGCGGTGTTCCAAAGAGACTTGGGGATGGATTGGGTCGGCTTGCATGGTGATTGTGATTGTGATCGTTCTGGCCGTCCAGTTGTCGTGAGTTCTTTGCAAGGTTTTGGGAGGGAGCGGGAGATACGTTGTGGGTGAGCGGCTTGTGTGGGCGTCCCCTGGTTGCAGTGGACTTACCACACCTGAAGAGGGCGGGAGGGGATCCGGTGCGACGCCAGGAAAGCCACAGTTCCGTCCACAGCCCAGCCTCTTCCCAGTTTCTCGGGATCCCTTGACTGATCTCAAGACTGATCAGATTGGGGAGCAGATTGGCCAGAGAGTGGCACAGCCTTCTGCGCAGCTGCACAAATAACGGAGCCAAGCCCAGGCTAAGCGACCGGCTAAAATTGTGGTGCGATATCTCAACACTGGCACGAGAAACGCGGCTTTCTTTGGAGCGGTTTGTACTCCTCAGATGCAGTGTCCCGCCGCCGAACACAGTTTGAATGATGGATCATCTGCTGGTGTGGATTCTCAGTGACCCCCACAGGGAGATTTTCTCGGTGTGTGTGTGCACGCGTCCCCCTACGCCTTCCAGAACTGCAGTCCATCGTCTCTAACGGGCTCCATCCACCTTTCTCAGGACAAAACCCTCTTTTTCTCTACGACGGTCCTGCTGCTGAAAGAAAATTAACTTCCACACACCCCAGGAGCTTCTGTAGCTGAGGGGGGGGCTAGCATGGGGTCTCCACAATTCTTGGGGTGAGGGTGGGGGGGGGCGAGAGAAGAGAGGATCCCACTTCTCCGGTGCAAAATAAAAAAAGAAATAGCGGAATGATTTAAAAGAAAAAAACCAGTACACGAATAAACTTTACCCTTTTGACAGTAACTTACTAAATGTGTCTATTATACGAGATATATCTGTAATGTAAAGTTTACAGAATGACATACTGTATACATGTTTTAATGCCAGTTTCCTGGTAAGATCTACCCCGCGGGTGTCAAAGTCGCTGCGTCACGACGTGTCATGGCTTTTTCCGCATTGCCTCAGCTGGGGCGGGCATGGCCTCCACATGATGCAACTGGCCTACGGGCCGGCAGTTTGACGCCCCTGTTGTACCCTAAAACCAGGTTCTCCTTGGCACTTTTATTAATAAAGGCACTTCATGTGCTGATTGGTAAATGTTTCTCGGGTTGCGAGTCCTCTGGTGTTTTTCAGGATGAGTTGCAACCATTTTTCAAGAGCATTGACAGTCGCTTTTTTCTAAACCAGGGTCTCCAAACGTGGCTACTTTGAAAGACTTGTGGACTTCCAATCCCAGAATTCCCCAGCCAGCATATCTGGACTTTATACTATCAGCAGTATAAACTCCCTATTTGATGAGAGAATGTGATATGTTCCCTGCGTACCCACCATCTACTAAGAAAGTTTCCCTATCAAAAAATGTGATATATTATGTTCCCTGCGTACCCGCCATCTACTAATAAAGTTACCCTATCAAAAAATGTGATATATTATGTTCCCTACATACCCACTGTCTACTAATAAACTTTCCCTATCAAAAAAAGAGATATATTATGTTCTCTGTGTACCCACCGTCTACTAATAAACTTTCCCTATCAAAAAAATGTGATATATTATGTTCCCTGTGTACCCGCCATCTACTAATAAAGTTACCCTATCAAAAAATGTGATATATTATGTTCCCTGCATACCCACTGTCTACTAATAAACTTTCCCTATCAAAAAAAGTGATATATTATGTTCTCTGTGTACCCACCGTCTACTAATAAACTTTCCCTATCAAAAAATGTGATATATTATGTTCTCTGTGTACCCACCATCTACTAATAAAGTTACCCTATCAAAAAATGTGATATATTATGTTCCTTGCATACCCACCATCTACTAATAAAGTTTCCCTATCAAAAATGTGATATATTATGTTCCCTGCCTACCCACCATCTACTAATAGTTTCCATATCAAAAAATGGGATATCTTATGTTCCCTGCGTACCCACCATCTACTAATAAAGTTACCCTATCAAAAATGTGATATATTATGTTCCCTGTGTACCCACCATCTACTAATAGTTTCCCTATCAAAAGATGCAATATATTATGTTCCCTGTGTACCCACCATCTACTAATAGTTTCCCTATCAAAAATGTGATATATTATGTTCCCTGCATACCCACCATCTACTAATAAAGTTACCCTATTAAAAATGTTCCCTGCATACCCAGGGGGGACCTATCTGAAGCCCCCCCCCTCGGTGACTGGCCACGGATAACGGACACAGTCACCATATGCACCAACCGCTGGGCGATGCTGCTGGCCTGGCCGAGTATAATAATAATAGTAGTAGTAGTAAAGTTGGAAGGGACCTTGGAGGTCATCTAGTCCAACCCCCTGCTCAGGCAGGAAACCCTACACCATTTCGGACAAATGGCTGTCCAGTCTTTTCTTCAAAACTTCCAGTGTTGGAGCATTTACCGCTTCTGGAGGCAGGTTGTTCCACTGGTTAATTGTTCTCACTGTCAGGAAGTTTCTCCTTAGTTCTAGATTGCTTCTCTCCTTGCTTAGTTTCCATCCATTGCTTCTTGTCCTGCCTTCGGGTGCTTTGGAGAACAGCTTGACTCCCTCTTTTTGGGGGCTGCCCCTGAGATACTGGAAGACTGCTATCCTGTCCCCCCTCGTCCTTCTCTTCGTTAAACTAGACACACCCAATTCCAGCAACCGTTCCTCGTATGTTTTAACCTCCAGTCCCCTGATCCTCTCTGTTGCTCTTCTCTGCACTCTTTCTAGAGTCTCAGCATCTTTTTGACATCGCGGGGACCAAAACTGGACGCCGGATTCCAAGGGTGGCCTTACTGAGGCCTTGTAAAGCGGTAGTAACCCTTCGCCTGGCCTTGATTCTATCCCTCTGTTGATGCCGCC